TTTTTTTTTTTTTTTTTTTTTGCTAATAGACTTCAGGGAGCCAGACAGGAGGTTAAACCCTACTAGGGGCTTGTCCACTTCGCTGCAGGCTGGACAATGAGTTTGGGACTTCTTTTTGGGAACTTGCAAAAGTGATGGCAAGTGGAAAACACTGTCCAAGTCAGGAATTAAGATTAACACTCTGAGTGCCTGTCCCCTCTAATGCAGCCGGCACTTTGATGTCACCAGGCTCAACCAATTATTTATGTATTTAGTACAGGGTCTCTTTACACAGATCGGACTTGTGTGACCCTTCCTGTTTTTCAGCCTCCCGAAGCGCTGGGAATACGGGTGTGACACCACACCCAGTCTCAAACACTCAGGCGTGCTCCGAGGGCGGGGAACTGCGTGGCAGGCAGGGAATCGAACCTGGTCCTTGTCTGCCTAAGCAGGTACTTTAATCTGCTGAGCTATCTGGCCAGCCCCCAACCAATTATTTAAAAAGTGGATTTCCAACTAGGTAGATAAAGCTCACTGCTAAGGTGTGAGCTTAGCATCTACAAGGCCTATGTCCACACACAAAAGTTCTTCAGTTCCCACTGATAGGTAATTTTAGGTGTCCACTAACAAGCTCTTCCCTGGCAAGCTCAAGGATCTGAGTTCAATCCCCAGTTCTGCCAGAAAAAATGAATAAAATAAAATGAAAAAAGGTGCCGGGGACGTAGCTTAGTGGCACAAGCACCTGCCTGGCAAGGGCAAAGTCCTTAGTTCAATTACTGGCACCCCCCAAAAAGAGCATCCTCCCTCCCCCCACGTGGGGCTCTATCACATTTATGGGTGGCATTCCTGGATTGTCTCAAGGAATCTGTAAGGCAGCCATTTGCACTGAGTTACTGCAATCACACAGGTTGCTTTACCTTTAAGGGCCATTTTGTTTACACCTGACCTGAATGCTCTGGATTTGCTAAATGAAAGTTCAAAAGGCTCCAGTGAACCTTGCTAAACCACTTCATGTTGCTAACTACCTATAGATTCCACAAACACAAAAAGATGAGTGTTGGTTTCTACAGGTTTGTGTGTCTGGCCCTGAGTACATTATTCTAGTTCTGTCTCCAATGTTAAGTCCTACAAAGTTAACCTTTTACCCAAAGCTCCTACAAAATAAGTCAACAGAATTTTGAAGGAAGTTGAACTCAAGTTTCACATCAAAATTTGTACTATACGTCCCTTTTCCTGATAAGGATCTGGCTAGCACTTGGCAATCTCCAACCCTAGAAACCTGCCCTCTTGAGACCTGAGAACTGACAGGAAGCACAGGTTCTAATGAGAAGTGCCATCCCTTCCACAGCTAGGAAGCAGCAGACACAGGTTTGGGGGCCGTTGCCCTAGACATCAAGTTTATTGTGCTCTCATATTCCAAACCCAGCCCTCTCTCCCACTGGGGGACAGCAGAAGGAAGGATTTTCACAGTATTGTGTGCCTCCCTGCCAAGCTTCCCCCTCTAACCCTCAGTCAGTTCTGTGGTCCACTGAAATGCAGCTAGAGAAAAGGGCTGAGGAAAATAGGATCTCTCTGGGAGAGCAGAAGAAAAGGATTAAAGAATTTGTTGCTTGCCACTTCCCACGCCCTAGAAGAACAGATCAGCAAACAGTCCATGCCATCGAGCCCAGCGGGCTGGGGGAGTGGAAGATGACAGTAACTCCAGCACAGCTGGACTTGCTTCTCAAATGCTGGAGGATGTAGGGAGGAGGCTGGAGCAGCATAAGCTTTCTTTTGCAGATCCAAGAAAGGAAACTTTAGGAGTCAGACCTTGGGATACTTTCCTCTTCTCCCAGGTCCTTAGGAGCAGCAAGGGTAGCTTCTTTACACCCTCTCTTCAGGGGCCACTTAGTGGCTGGGGGAACGGGCCTTGTGGAACAGGTACACAGGACGCTGGAAGCCTAAGGGGAAAGCATGCAATCAGGAAACAGGTTGGCATGGCCTTGGGATTCCATAGGGTCTGCACCCTCTCAGCCAGCATTGGTCTCCCTCAACAAATGAGGCAGCCTTACCTCTGGAGGTGTTGTGGGGTGTGGCAACAAGCTCATAGCTGGAGAAGCCCACCTCTGGGGATGTCAGGTAGGAACTGAACTGTTCTGGCTTCAGCTGGATTCGATAGTAGTTCTTATAGGTTGTTTCCTAGGGAGAAAGGCATGGGGATCATGTTAACTAGCTGCTTCCTAACCTGGCCATGAATGATGCCCACCCAGACAGCTCTTTTCCTTGCTCAGAAAGTCTGATTACTTGAGGCCTTTTTTTTTTTTTTTTTTACATTTATTTATTTATTTGTGTGTGTGTGGTCAGTTCAGCCCACCAGGGGGAGGGGCTGGCTGGCATGTGGTGCTGGGGGATTGAACCACAGTCCCTGTGCTTTGTTTAGCTTAGCTTGTTCTAAGTAGGTGCTTTAGACCACTGAGCCATCTCACCAGCCCTTGAGGCCTTTCTTGACCAAGCCAAAGGAGTATTTCCTTTTGCATAGAAATCCAACTCACTGTGAGAGTCTTTCTCTTGCTGTAGGATGACCATGGTTGGGGTTCTAGGACCAGGATGCCGCCTGGGCGTAGGTGTCTGTAGATCCTTCGGAACATGCGCTTCAATCCCTCATCTCCCCAGTTCAGATGCACCCACTTGGTGAGGCTGAGGCAGAGCACCACATCATACTCAGCTGCCTGGGCCTCCACCAATTCATCTCGTTCCAGCACATAGTTGCCCTAAAGGTAACAATGGGTTGAGGTTAGTAGCAGACCCAAAAAACCACTGGCCTTCACAACTGGTCTGCAACTGAGAAATTCCTATGGCTGCACTTCAGCAGGTGGCCACATTTTTCTCTTTACACTCCTTGAGCAACTGGGTTGGCATAGTGGTACAAGCCTTTAATCTCAGCATTTAGAAGGCTGAGGCAGGAGGATCACTTTGAGTTCAAGGCCAGCCTGAAACCTTGTCTCAAAAGAAAGAAAATTTCAGAAGCTCATCCCTGAGATTTTCTCAGCTGGAGAGCTCCCCCACACAAGTATGAGGCAGTTACTATTATACAAGGGGAACTAATCCAGGTTAAGAGACCCAAGGGTACTTGAATTGGGCAAAATTTCAGGCCTATTCTTTATCTGAAATGAAAAGCTACATCCCACAGGAAACCTTTTCTAGATGATAGGCTCACCATTACCCTCTGGAATGTCCTTTCTTTAGGCTTAACACAGTGGCAGACATTTCTGCAGACAGCTTAGGACAGTTCTGTGGGAAGTTATATGCAATCAGGGGATAAGCATGCTACTAGGCATTTCCTCCATTCAGAAGAGTTTCCTCCCCTCTTCTGTTATCCAAGGTCAACATGAAGAAAACGTAAAGCCTAGCTGCTGGGTTGAGTTCCTGAAAACTGACCCTTCGACTAACTCTGTAACTAGGGAAACAAAAGCACCTCATACAAATACCGTCGCTATCAGGATGGACACTACATACTAAATCTGCCACCACCCTAGTCTCTCCCCCTGCCCTAAGACATTCCCTTCTGACACTCAAACCCTTACTAGGGTCTTTCGGTAGGTTCAAGGACCAGGTTTCATCTAGACTGAACTGTCCAGTGGCAGCAAACACCAAGAGAGTTATACGAATCACCCCTATCTTGGGAATGAGATCCTTGCAGTCCTGAGAAAAACCCAAGGGTTAAAACCCCAAGGTAAGGGACACCACATTCCCATGTTATTGGAGCAAGAGAAACCCAGCAGAGCTTTTCACAGACCAATCCAGATCTTTCTCTTGTGGAGCTGGTTTTCCTAGTGAGGAGTGAACACAGGGAAATACCTCGGGGTAATAACCATTCCACCACTTTCCCAATCTCATCTTCGTACCTGGCCCCTATTCCAAGGACCTTCGGACTCTTACCGTGACGAAGACAACATTGTTGGGGAAGACAGATGTGTCTGCTCCATCCAAGGGGACTTGGGGTGCAGCAATGGGACCCCGGCTGGCTGTCAGTGAGGCTGGAAAGCAGCTCCTTTTCCTGACCGTGGTATTCCCTTCCTCACCCTCTCCCCCTGGGTCCTCAGAAGTCTGGGGTAGGAGACGAAGCTCCTCAGACAGGTAGTGTCGGATATTTTGTCGGGCTGAGTGGATCAGCTGGGGATCGATATCCAGCCCCACCATGCGGGATGGGCCCCACTTGCAGGCAATGCTCAGGGTGAGATGGCCCACATTACAGCCCAAATCCAGAACGTCCCGGCCCCGAAACCACTCAGGCTTCAACACCCGAAGGCGCACATCCTCACAGGAAGGATTGCGGTACCCATAGTACTTGCTATAATTCCCATACTGGAACTTGAGCTGCTGCTTTTTGAAGCTTGCTATTGGCAGTAGGTGGTGGCGGCCTCCCCCACTCCCTCGGCCCTTTTCCTTGGGACCCTGGCCTCCACCTCTAGCCCCTGCCTCCGACTTGCTGGAAGTCCTGCGACGTTTGCGATGTCGAGAGGAGGAAGACGAGGGTGCAGAGGTAACTGAGGCAGCTGGCGGGGCTGAGAGGGTGCCTGAGGGACCCTGCAGGGCAGATGGAAGGGGAGACACGACCTCATCCCTGCAGTTGATGGCTGTGTTGAGTTCATAGGGTTGGGGGGCATCCCGGTTCTGGCTCCGGTGCCGATGCTGTTGCGGGGCACCCTCCCCTTGGAGTGAAGGGCTGAGGGGGGCTGTGGGCAGCATGGCGTTGCTATCGTTCCCTCCAGATGCCTGCTGCTGTTGGTGGTGTTGTCCCCGGTGTCTATGCCGCTTCCGACCAGTCTTGAGTGGCGAAGCAAAAACTACGTGGGCCTCATCAGTGCAAGTATTGAGACTGAGCGGGTCTGTGATATCTTTGGGGATGAGGATCTCCACTGGATCTCGCCCCTTGGCCGGAAGTGGGGATGACTTAGGGGTCTCCGCATTGAGTGCACGACTCACTTCCTCATCGAGGAGGCTATTCAGGTTCAGGGGATCAAAGATATTGCCCCCCAGGAGGAAGTTGGAGGGCAACACGGGGTCACAGTCCGAATTCACCCGCCTGCGTCTCTTAAAGGCCGGATGTTTGAAGCCCCCACCACCACCTCCCACATTACAGCTATTTCTCCTCTTGCCCCCACCTCCCCCGGGGGGCCGGTGGGGCTGGTAGCCATTTCGGGGCCGAGGAGGGGCAGGGGGCCCCAAGACTGTCCCAGCTCCTCCCCGGCGCTCCTCCCCGACATCCGGGGGAGCGGCTCGACCGTGGGGCTCGGCCAGGCGGGCCTCCCCTTGCGGCTGCGCCTGGGGGCCGCCCCCTCGCTGCGGCTGGGCCGGGCCGCCCCGGAGACTGGCGGGAGTCCCAGAACCTGGGGACCCCGCCGAGGGCGTGCAAGGGCCAGGCCCGCTCTCCGTCCCGCCGCAAGGCTCCCCGGAGGCGGCCTCCCGGTGCGGCTGCACCCCGGGGCCGCCCCCTCCGCCCGACTCATCTTTGAGTGGAGGCGGCGGGGCCGGCACCAGAAACGGCTCCTTCTCCGCCGCCATCTCGATCATTTCCTCCCCTTATTCCGTCCCAGTAGAAGGGTACGGGAGTGGGGGGATCGGGGGCTTAAGCCCCCCTTCCTGGGCCGCGTTCCCTTCCCCCCTTTCCCGAGTGCGCGCGCAGCTCTGCTCCGCTCGCCTCGAGCCCAAGCGCTTTTTCCCTCCCCGAAGCGCGCCCCACTCGCCCGCGAGACCAAAACAAGATGCCCGCGAGACCCGGACAACCCGAGGAATCAACCGCGCGTGCGCCGACCCCTTTCTCCGCCACCACTACCACTCCGCCGCGAGCGCGCACGGCCAGCGCGCGTTCCTCTCGCCCCCGGACCGCGCATGCGCACTCCGCCACCACCCTGGCTGCGCGCGCATCCGAATGCGAACCAACTTAACGGCTCCGGGAGTTTAAATATAGCCTCCCTTTAGCCCCCCACCAGAAGCCCACCACCCAAAACGGACACCCTACTTCCCTTTGCAGCTATGTCCGGCCCTACTGATATCCTTTGTCTCTGCCGCGCGATCCCACCCACCGTAGGCGGGGGACGGGGAGCTGGTGTGAAAAGGTCTCCTTGACACCCGACCCTTGTTCCTGAGGAATGAGTCTCAGCGGTCTCCGCCCGGCTCTAAACCCAACAACCTCCCTACCCCGCCTCCTTCCTCCCCCTAGTGGGCAGCGCCTGCGCACAGCGTTCCTTTTGGGCTTGCGCGGGTAGAGGCAGCACGTGCTGGAGATGACGCCCCGCCTTCCGTCTTGGGGGCGGGCACTTTACGTAGCTTCCCTGGGTTTGGTACGCGCCGAGTGCGTCAGCGCTATTCGGAGGGGCGTGACCTCCCAGCGAAAAGGGCGGGCTTCATGAATTATTCAGTCTCCCCTCTATTTCCCCCCCGCCCCTGCCAATTATTTAGTAGAGCTTCAATAAAGGAGCGCGAGAGGTGAACTTTAATGGAAGTAAAGAAATGGGGTGTATTGACCGTCTTCCTACGAACGGTTCTCAGTAAAATGCGATCGATCTTTTTAACTCATTCCCTTCGGATGTATCTGCTGAATTGAAAAAAGCAAACACTAAAACAGCTAAGGTTGTCCAACTTCCTCTTTTCAGAAATGGCTGCGCGTTCTCCACTGCGCGATCGTTACCCATTGCGATCACCTGGGTACACCACTCATTCCGCTCTGCCTCTGCCCACCATCCAGAGCCTGCCCTTCCCGCGAGTCCATCCGTCCGCCGCTCTCAGCTGCTCTCCACCGTGACTAGCTTGCACACGGGCCCTCCAGACTCGAGCGGCGGCTGGGGAAAGGGAGGGCGGGGAAGGAGATTCTGCCCGTTTTGAGGCCAGTGCTTCAGATAATGGGAAGAAGCAGTGGATGGATGCCGTTTCTCCGGGGTGGCGGGTGGTCTGGTCGCCCACCCAACTGGGAGTTTAGCTTAGGGCGGTAGAAGAGAGAGTTGGGCTCAAGATTGACTCAAATTACATTGGAATAAAAGTGTGAAAGAGACTAGAAAAAAGAGTAAGATAATGAAAAGAGGAAGGAACAAGCAGACCCTCGTGTTCGTAGGGGAATTTGTGAAATAAAGATGTAGTTCAAGAATAATCGGCGCTGTTTCTGTCGCCTAAATATAAGCGAAGCCAATAAGCATCATGGGATTTGTAGTCTTGGGGCATTTACCAGACGTTAGCCCAAAAGGCCCAGCTGCGCAATTGCAGAGGCGGGCGTCCGGGTGCGCATGCGCCCTGACTCTGGAGCACGCCGCGGGGGTGGAGCTTGTGGACGTCCTCGTGCCTTCTCCTAGTGGCGGGAAAAGTAGATCGAGGTTGGTGTTTGCAGAATCACTGCAACAAGCTCGCGCTGCTCCTCGCCTTTAGGTCCTCTTCGCCCCTGAAGGTAGTTGGCTTTTTCTTTGGTTAGAGATGAAGGTGCAAGGTCCGTCTAATCTTGGTACCTGTTGCCTGACGAGAAGAGAAACTTTCTCGTCAGGGCGACAACCAGCTCTTACCCCTCCTAAGAACCTCTAACCACCACAAACAAAAAGAAATAACCTAATGTCAGAGGGACGGTGAGGGAAGTTCCCTCACGGCGAGTTCTTAGGGGGCAGGTAAGAGAGGCCGCCATTTTATCCTCTGAGAGGAGGCGCGGGCTTCTAAGTCGGTCAAACGTCCGATTTTAATTGTCCCGAAGAATACTTTTGGGAGATGAGGGGGAAAGATGGGAGGTCACAAAGAGTCTTCCCGTTGGGTTTCCTGGCAGATTCAGGCCTGTATTGCTCCAGACCTTGACCCCCTGTGAGGGGAACTGATGTACTGGAGATTGAACACAGGACCTTCACCTTGAGCTACACCCTAGCCGCCCCCCACCCTCGGTCTTGAGATGGGGGTCTCACTGCATAGCACAGGCAGGCCCCTGGAGCTAACCAGGATCCTCCTGCGTCAAAATCTCTTCAGTGCTGGGATTACAGGCGAGCGCCACCACACCAGCTCCTTAGCTCGCCTTCCTCTCCCCCTTCCCCCGCTTTTTTTTTTTTAGTACCAAGAATCAAACTTGAGACATGACATTATGCTTGCTAGGCAAGCTTGCCTGAGCTGTCTCCCCGGCCCCCCTTTTTGTTACTGTTCTTTGGTTTTTTTGAGACAGTAGCTTACAGTGTAGATAGACTAGGGTGGTTTGGAGCTTTCAGCAAACCTGCCTCAGCCTTCTCAGTGCTGGGGCTGCAAGCAAACATCACCACATCCGGCTCCTAGCTCCCTTTGTAAAAATTTATTTATTTTTGAGTCAGAAATCTCACCATGTAGTCCAGGCTTGTCTCGAGCTTATCAGTCCAGGCTGGTCCTCCTGCCTCAGCCTCCTGAGTGCTGAGATTACAGGTGTGTACCGTCATGCCTGGGTATATTTTTGTTTTGTGATAGGGTCTGGCTAAATTGTAGAGGCTGGGCTTGGACTTGTGAGCCCCCTTCCTTCCTCAGCTTCCCATAGTGCTAAAATTATAGGCGTGTGTTGTCATGCCAGGTAGGATACAATTATTTTTTAGCGAAAACCACTTGAAAGACTGATCTTAACCACTTGAAAGACTGATCTTAGGTCAGGGACAGCACTGGCAGTCGATAGTGCAAGCTGTTTCTTAAAAAAAAAAAACACACACACACACACACATAAAATGACAAGCATGTACATGATTGGGATTCTCTGCACTGTAAACCAAGAGACTTAATTATGAATTAGCTATTGTATTTGTTACAGGTATTGAATCCACAGTGTAGGCAAGCACTGTACCACTGAGCTACTGCCCCAACCCTACTCTGAATTTGTAAGCTACTGTGTGGAAAGCTTGGTACAGGTATTACTTCTGATAGTAAATAATTTTCTTACAAGCAGTTGTGGTAACTGGAACCTTTTTTTTTTTTTCTGTTAAGTTTTAAATCAGGTTTGCAGAAAGTGTGTGCAAGGAAACAAAAAACTACTGTTGATTGAGGCATGAAAATTAGGTGTTCACAGGCTATTACAATTTTGTTTGTTTTGGCCTTTTTGAGACAGGGTCTCACTATGCAGTTCAGACTGGCCTTGAGCTCACTTTAAAGCCCAGGCAGGTCTCGAACTCACAACGATCCTCCTGCCTCAGCCTCCCAAGTGCTGGATTACAGGTGTGTGTCACCACGCCTGGTGCTGTTACACTTTAATGCTGAAAGAAAATGAGACTCAGACCTTAAAGGAGCTTTTAAATATACCACCTCCCCATCCTGGGGGATATACATCCCAATTTTAATACAAGGTCTTTCTGTATTATTTGGTAATGTGTGATCCTTCTGCCTCAGCCTCCCTCAGTGTGGGATTACAGACATGCACAAGGGGCACCTGGTTTAAATATAATCTTTAATGAAATGTTTTGAGGTTTAGGGAGTCTCTGGTAAAGGTCAGTACTAAGGGATTTACCTAATCTAAGGACTGGAGGAACAATATAGAAGGAATAACTATATAGTAAGGAGGGGAAACTTTTAAAGGGGTAGTAACATATTGGCAAGACAGATGAATTACTTCACTAGCTTGGGTCTTTAACTTTTTGGTCTGAATCTTTTTTTTTTTAATTTCTCAGTGTTATTTTTTTTTCCATAATTTTATTGAGAGACAAATAGCAATGAGACAGTTTCAAATCAAATTGGTAGGACAGTTTCAATAATTAGCACATTGCATACTGTCTTCCTATTGGTTATTTGCTGTACAAGATGCGGACATGATATCCTATTTACAAACACTATTACAACAAATCCCTCTATTCATTAGGAGAATGTAACTATATATCTACCCTAACCATTTTGAATACACAGACACAAAATGGACATTCATTTATATATCTCCTTTTTTGTTTAGTTCCGTCATTTGAATATTATAGGTGTGTTAACTCAGCAAAATATTCTAAATGAATCCTTTTATACTCTTAAAATTTACAGAGGTCCCCGGAGAACTTTTATATGGTTTGTATCTGTTGATAGTAACATGAAAAATTTAGACTGTGCACTGAATTACTTCAGAACCCTAACTTGCTGTTGTATTAATAAATGTTTCTGCCTATGCAAATAACAAAAATTAAAATGAGAAAAATATATTTTATTTGAAATTTATGATAAATTCATGTTAGCATAATGTTTTTACAATAAGAAGTATTTTCCTAACAAAAGAATGTCTAACATGAAGCGTTGCACTGTTGGACATTTTTGTAAATCTCATGTCTGGCTTAATAGAATACAGCTGGATTTTCATCTGTTTCTGCATTCAACCTGTTTTGATATCTTGTTTTGGTAACAGTATGTAAGATACTATCCATAGTATCTTACTATGGATATGTAGTTAGAAAAAGGAGAGAATCCCTTGGGACTACGTTTTGAGACCCTCTGGGCTAGTTTGGTGTTAGTTTTCCCATTGAGCTATCACCTCCCTCCCCTTCTTTTGAGAATGGTGTCATTGCTAAATTGCCCAGGCTGGGCTCAGACTTCTGCTTCAGCCTCCCAGGGTGTTAGGACTACAGGCATGACCTGCCACACCAGACTGGGCTAGACAATTTCATCTCAAAATTAACGTGATGAGTTTAAGTATCCTATATCTACTTTTTAAAGAGATCCTTGTTCACCTTCAATTGATTTTTTTTTAAATCATTTTGTTCTCAGCCCTCCACCCCTCTTTCAGTGCTAGGGATTGAACCCAGGGCCTCAAACATACCTGACAACTGCTCTGCCACTGAGCTAAATTCCCAGTGTTAACCCTCTTTTTTTTTTTTTTTTTTTTTTTTTTTTTTTTTTTTTCCCTCCTTTTTTATGTTGAATGAGTAGGATCCAGTTAAGGAATTGCACTTCCATAGGCCTTTGAGTCTCTCAGTGTCTGTCTCAGTTTCTGTCTGTTGGCTAGTCTCTCCCTCTCCCCGCTCTTCTCTCTGTCTTCTTTTTATCTAGAGAAAGAAAATAAAGCAAAACTTTGTTAATTCTTGGTCTAGAGCCCCTAGTCTGTTCAGAAGAAAGCTAGTGATATTTTACTTATTATTAAATGCCTATTTTTCTCTCTATGAACCAGCTTTCAGTATTTGTTTTTGTGGAAAAAGGAAATTAATCTGAAACAGGAAGAGGTATCTTGAATTAACAGAAAGTGAAGGCCTGGATATTCTCTGTTGATCAGGCAAAAGTGATGTTCTTCATCACATTCTCACCTTAGATTAAAGAGAACTGTTATACATCAGTATTTACAGATTTTCTACATCTTTTTTTACATAATAGTGATCCAAAATTTTGTCCAGGTGACTAGGGAGAGGAGAGGAGGCCAACTGAAGATGAGTTGTGAACATCAAAGGTGTTAGGTTCTCATTACCAAGTTCTAGTAGAAGAATAGGAAGATTCTAAGTTCTTTGGGGACCTCTGCTAGGTATGACATTTCTGATGATAGAATCCAGTATTTGAGGAAACCTAAAGATTTTAGTAAAGGAAAGAGAAACATTATGATGATTTTTTAAAAGAGGGTTTTCTATAAGGACCTCAGAGAATTGCCAAGTTATTTGTATTCTAACTATTCAGGGAAACTTTGGCAAAGGAGGAAAATGCTCCCTTAGTAACTCCCAGGACTATTCATACCCTACAACCACCACTGTTACTACCATTACTGCTACCACCACAGGGTCCCACTAAAGTATACTGCCTGCCTGTATCCACATGGTTGTAGGCACTTAAAACACCTAAAGATTGTTGCATATTTTTAAAACAACTGTCATTCCCTGGCATGTACTCTGGAGGCCATAGAAATGTAGTCAAGAAGGCAAAAATGTAGTTAGGCGTTCTAGGCAGAGAGACCCTGAACCCAAGAAGATAAGGAGATCGGTTTAAAATCATGTTTAGTTGAAGACATAGCAGTTAATTTCTTTTTAAAATTTCTTACCAAAGGCAAAGCACGTGTCATTTCTGAGCTGAATGATGGCAGCACCACAGAAGAAAGGTGAGCCAAGAATGGAGGGGGTGGTCTACTTTGTACGTTTTTCTCATTTTCCTCTTCTAGACATCCCACCAGGGGACAGTTCACTTCGTATATATTTTGTGTCTGCTATGTTCAAATTATTACTCTACTGGATGCTTTGAGAAAAGCATGATTTAGGAAATAATCCTGCTCAAGGAATGTATGAGCTCGTGAAGAGAAAAAAGACATTTAAATGTCTATAACATAAAGTTGAATGTGGTAGATGCTACCAGAGAGGTACAAAATATTACAGAAGCACAAAAGAGGGGCTGGTGAGATGGCTCAGTGGTCTA